CTGCTCGCACACACATAGCCGCTGTTCCTTCTCCTTCTTTGTGAATGTTCTGGGACCTTTCATTGTCTGACATTCCTTTGGAAGGCTTCGGAGCACTTACATGTTTGTAAATTTACACATTCAACTGTCAGTCTTTCTCCAGAAGTTTGTGTTTGTTTTCACCCCTGTGGAGGGAGGGCATGGGGCAGGAGCACAGCTGGGCGCCAGGCTCTCACCTAACTTGCAGGAGACTCTTGGTGGCAGGGGCAGCGGCCCAGAAGGGGGAGGAGGGGGGAGGGGAGGGCAGGGGAGTCGCTTGCTCACGCTCACAGCTGCACTGGGCTCTCCTGTGTTGAAGCCTGCAGGTGGTGCAGAGGGGCAGAGGTGTGTGAGCGTGAGCTCGGCGTGGCCTACGCTGCGGTTGGCCTTGACTGGCACCGAGCAGGCCGCTGTGTCGCTCCCTCCCGAGCGCCGGCTCCAGGGAGGGCTGTGGGTAGCCACAGTTCGGATCCTGCCGGTTCACCAAGCCGCCTCACACTGATCGCAGTAGGAGAGCTGGTGGCTTGTCATGTGGACTGTCTTCTGTCTTTCCGTTTATCCGAGAGCTGCATCTCCAGTACTCACTTGGTTTAAGTTTGAGTCAGGGCCTTACTGCGTGGCCCAGACGTGCCCTCCTGCCTCATGTGGCCGTGACCGCAGGTGCACCGTCAGGAGCCCGTGTTAAGTGCGGTCCTTTGCAAGAGGAGCGGGCTCCCTGCACCCCAGGGCGGGACCACAGGAGCCTGGCAGTGTTTGGAGCTCTGGCCATCCCCGCTGTGCCCGAGTGGGCAGGAGCTGCAGGGTCCTCCAGAGCCGGTCCCCAGAGCGCACTGAATTAACTGAGCCACCTGCCTGGCATGCTGGGAGCGGCATGCTGTTACCGATAGGCAGCAGCTCTCTAGGCACAGAGGTTTCTCCAGTTCTGCGGTACCGAGTGCATCCGGTTAACCCTGTTGAAAGCCCTGTGTGGCCGGGGCCCTCGCTTTCACCGGAGGTGAGGCGGGCTGCCCAAGCCTGGGGTCCCTGGGGTCTAGTCTGAGGGGACTCCCGCACCTATGGCCAGAGGAGGCTGGCTTCAGCTCCTTGGCTGTGCAGAGAGCATTTGGAGGGCTTTCGGTTCTTCATGTGGAGGTGACTTGATCTGTGTGTTGTGGACAGCGGGTGCTGCAAAGGTCACAGAGACCTATGCCCGCTGCACGTGCTGTTGACGGTGAGGACAGCCCAAGCGTGGTCCTGTGCTGGTCCCTCCCGCCCGCTCCTCCGGGGCTGCTTCCCCTGTGCCACTTGTCACAGGCTTTGGCTACACCTGGCTTTTTCCCTGGCTTTTTGACACAGGGTCTCCCTGTGCAATTCAGGCTGGCCTTGAGCTCACCTTGTAGCCCAGGCTGATCTTTGAATTTGCAATGATCCTCCTGCCTCAGCCTCCCAAGTGCCAGGATGACAGGTGTGTGGCACCATGCCCTGCTGTACGCTGACTTTTTAAGCGTGTACCTCGCAGTCGCTTAGCAGCGAAGCCTGGCTCTGGCCCTGCCCTGGTGCTGTGTGTGTGTGTTTGGTTCTGTTGGACCCGTCGCAGGCATTGTGCAGCTGTGGACAGTGTGGGCTGGCTGCCTTGTCCATAGCAGGCTGGGAGGGGCCTGATGTGTCCGAAGGTCGAATCTTTGGATGTGGTAGGCTGCTAGACTTCGGAAGCTTCCCCCTGGCTATCGGGAGCCTTGTGGTGGACACCGTGTCCGATTCCATTCCTTAGCTTCTGTCCAGGTGGCCCAGGTGCGCTGCAGCAGAGCCAGCCTTGGCCTGTGAAGAGTCTGACGGTGGCCTCCCTGGGCTGCGGTCACCACGAGACACCAGGAGACACCACGCTCCTGCTACTTGCTACCCCTGTCTGGGTGCTGTGCCATGCTGGGGCCGTGGGGCTCTCTGGGTGCGTTTGCGTGCAGGACCATCGGTGGGCTCGTCATGGCCTGGTGAGGGAGGCTCCAGGGGGTGCTTGTGCCCGCTGGTCACGGGCTGCAGGTGACAAGCAGAGGTCACCCTGCCCACATGGGAGGCATCATTGTCCCTGGCCTTGATGTGGGATGCCAGCAGGACCCTCACCCATTAGGATAAGTGCCATTAGGATAAGTGCCCTCCTGATACGGCCAGCAGGGAGCCCTCAGCAAACAAAACCTAGAGGTCCCTCGAGGTGACAGCTGTGGGCGGGGAGGGCAGCGGAGGCCTTCTGAGCAGGCACTGCCCCCTGCGAGCAGCAGGCGGGGCCGTGCTGCCAGGCTTGGACTCGGGAGGCGACATGACATGTGCAGTCCGGCTGCCCGCTGCGTCCGGCTACTGACTGGAGCCCCGCGGCTGTGTGAGTCAGGAGCGTCTGAGTTGAGCTGCCGAGGTCACATGAGCAAATTAACCTCACCAAAAATAACCCCAAAAACAACATTTCTGGGAAACAAAAGTGAAGGCAGCTTTCATTGTAAACAGAGGCGAAAGGAGACAGAGGGGGCTGGAAGAAGTGAGCAGCTGGGGACTGGGAAGAAGGTGCTCCGGGAAGGACACGGAGGGGGAACACTTCCCTGCAGCGCTGCGGTGCGAGGTGTTTCCTGCCCAGTCCTCACGGCCGCAGTGACGTGTGTGCACGTGTGTGTGCGTGTGTGCGTGTGTGCGTGTGTGTGTGTGTGCGCAGTCCTCGGTCCTCCTGTTGATCCACAGGAAATGCTTCCCTGGGAATGGGCAGTGGGACCCCGTTAGTGCCTGGGCAGCCTTGGGCCACCCTGTTACCATGGGCCTCACACACAGATCACAGACAGCGGGCATGGAGGGGCACGCCTGTAACCCCAGCAGTCCGGAGGCTGAGGCAGGAGGGTCACCATGAGTTCGAAGCTGGTCTGGGCTCCATAGTGAGACACTGATTTGTCTCAAAAATCAGTCAAACCACAACAAAAAAGCTCCTCCAGAGCTCCTGACCAAGTGTGCCTTTGGGGTCTGGGGACATCCTCTGTGCCCCAGGGCTGCAGCGTGCAGTGTGGCTAATGTCAGAGTCCCCTCTGCCCTGGCCCCACGGCCGCTGTTGGCCACTGGCCCTCGTGCATGGTGGCGGGGGGTGGCCCGGCACTTCCCGCTCACCTGCCTCCTCGTTCCAGGCCAGGATGGAGAACTCCAGTCCGCAGGGCCCGAAGGTCTGGGGTGGTGAGAGCGCCAGCTGGGCCCTGCGGCCACAGAGTCACCTCTGCAGCTGGGAGTGATCAGCTGCTTCTCCGAGGTCTTGCCTGGTGGGGGAGACGCACGCCAGGGAGCACCATGGCCGTGGGTCCCAGCCCTCGGGTTTGCCAGGCCTTTCAGGGCACAATCAGAGCCACAGACAAGACAGGAGGTGCAGTCAGTGCACGTAACCGGACTTCCTTTAAACACCACACCCCAGGGTTATATGGGAAAACTTGGTGTCTGATTTAAATACTCCCTGAGGGCACACGTGCGTGGATTGAATACTCAGGTGATACTCGCTGTGTTTCCCCCGAAGGCCAGCAGGGCTGATCACGTGGGTGAAGGGCTGTGTGTGGCGGGCACGGGGGCTGGGGACCAGTGACTGGGGACGGAGACCGGGGACCCCATCCACCCTGCGCCGGCCCCCCATGCGGTATCTGCTGCAGAACCAGCACCAGCACTGGTCCTGAGGGTGGCACTGCCACTGAGGCGGTCCTGCCGACAGCGTGGTCCTGTGGGGCCGCCTGGGGCCCAGGCTGGACACTCCTGCGTGGCCATTGAGTGATGAAAGCAGCTTTTGGAAATTAAAGGGAAATGGCTTATGGTTGAGTTACAGATGTTAAGCAGTCTAGGTGCTTTGCCTTTTCTCAGAATGGCTTGGTGGTCTTATTCCAGGGAGCGGCCTCCTGGAGGAGTCTGGAGTGGGCAGGTGCGTCTTCTCGGGTGCCCACCCTGTGATGGGCCTCGTGGGCCGTGGCTACCCAAGACCAATGGCTGCTCGCCTTGTAGCCCAGCGAGGCTTCCTGCTGGGGGGCTCTGGCAGGCGGGTGTGTCAGGTCCAGGCCCATCAGAGGCCCGTGGAGTGCGGTCGGCACCCTCCTCCTGTCCCTGCCCCTGCCTACCCCAAGCCAGCTCTGCTGGGCCAGCTCCCGCCTGCTGCCCAGCATGCACATGTCGGAACAGCTGCGCCCGAGGGGGACCAGCGTGGGCGCCTCGGCCTAAGCAGCTCCGCAGGGAACAGCAGTGTGGGGTGTCCCTGAGAGGTGACCGCTCTCGGCGTCTGTTAGAACGAGACTGTGCAGAGGGGAAGGCCCTGCTGGCTTTTACTCCGTGTCCAGAACTTCTGGGGCGGGAGTGATGCTGCCCCACGGAGCTGGGGTCCAGCTCTGCCCAGGGCCTGCGCTGCCTGTGAAGAGGCAGGCGGGGGTCCTGTGCTCGGGACTCGCCCCCACACATGGGGTGTGCTGGGGAGTGTCGTTCTTTGGAGCCTGTCCTTGCACCCCCAGGGGCGCCCCAGGCTGTATTATCAGGGTGCTCCGTACCCAGGACTGCGGTCCCCTCTGCCTGAGCGCCCTGGAAGTGGTGCTGGTGCCTGCTAGGGCTGTTCTGCCCTGTCACACTGCTGTCCCCGTGGTTTTTAGAGCATCCAGACGGGTTCACTAGGTGCACGAGGGTGGTGCTAAGTCCTGCTCTGTAACCTGTCTTTAGGGGAACGGACCCACTTGAAAAAGAAGGTCTTCTCAAGTCAGGTGTGCGAGTTGTGCCAAGGTGACCTCTGTCCAGGCACTGAGCGCCTGCCGCCAGGCGGGGTCTGCCTTTGGCTGACGTCACAGGGGCCCCCACTTCTCACTGCAGGAGCGGTTCCGAGGGTGGTGGCAGAGCAGTGCCAGCCTGCTCGAAAGCGTGAAGCAAACAGCGGCCCTCAGGACAGACAGACGCTTGTCACTGAGGAGCCAGCGCCGTCCTGTCCGCGCGACAGAGAGTGAGTCAGGTGTGTTTTGTCTCCCCAGATGGCCCCCCGGGCCGAGCCCCCCGTGAACAGCGTGGGGAACAACAGCCTGGAGAAGGCACTGCACACGTCCGCACATTCCACGGAGGAGCCCAGGAGGCCGCTGGGGAAGCTCGGCAAAGGTGGGTCACGGCCGCCCGGCGGTCGTGGAGCGGGAGCCGGCAGGGCAGACGCGTGCCCCCGGGGCTCTGTGGGGCTCTCGCTCTTCCGACCCTGCAGGTGCCGCCCGGGCGTGTTTGGCAGGAAGAACCACGTGCGGGGGTGTCACTAAGGGACGCAGTTGTCAAACACCCTGTGTTCCCCACACTAGAACACGGGCGTCCTCAGGCTGGATGCCACCTGGGCGGCCCCGTCCCTGAGCCCCTCACTGTGGCTCTGCAGGGCTCTGTCCACACAGCCCTGATGCCCCAGCCGTGAGCCCCCGAGGGCAGCTGTGCTCCCAAGGACCATGCACATGTGTGCTCCTGTGATCTGGGTCTGTGGCTGGCGCAGGGTGGCCGCCTTGGCTCGGAGGTTGGATCTGCACCGCTTGTCTGTCCTTTGTCCTCCTGTGTCCCCCGTATCTCCTGAGGGTGGTGAGTGCCGAGTCTCACCAGCAAAGTCCCACCTGACACGGCCACCGGAAACATTGGCCTCTGGCTGGGGCTGGGGCTCAGGACCCTCTGGCCTCTCCCTTTTTGCCACGTTTGAGTCACATGGGTGCATGGTAGCCTGAAAGTCCTGGTCCCTGCAGCCTTTCCAGGTGCTGGCCATGACCACCGTGGAGTCCTGCAAGGTCACACCTTCCCCTGAGGCCCCTTCCTCCCGGGGCCATGACCTGGTTTGAACGTCCCTTCTGCCCGGTCATCCTGGGGACGCAGAGAGTGGGCAGGACCCATGTCACCCAGTGCACTGCCTTTCCCTTTCGGCACGGTGTCTCCAGAGAGACGCCACTGGAGCCTGCGCCCTGCAGGCCAGGAGACCTGGAGACAAGCCCCGTTCTTGGTTTCTGCTGGGTGCCCGGGGGTCGCCCACCGTTATCTGGTCTGTGTACTTTGGTGCCCAGAGAGGCAGGTTGCCTGGTTCTGATGCTTGCTGAGGCAGGGTGCTTGGCTGTGAGTGTCCTGTGTCATCCACGGTGACCGTGTCCCTGTCACCCGCTGTGTCTTGTGCATGTGCAGGGATGAAAGCACATGGCGCAGGACGTCTATGTGCAATACCCAGCGGCCACCCCACGGAACCATGTGTGACTACAACTCCTTGCGTCCCTGGGGGATGTGGCCAGGGACAGTTGTGCAGGTGGGGCCCCTGGGCGGGAGCTCAGGAAGCAGGCTGGATGTGGGCTGGAGTGGTGGGGGAGACGGTTCTGGCACCCGGGTCTTTGGACCTCGGTACCCGTTGTGCCTTTGGCGGTGCTGAAAGCCAGCATCTCGGGGCCCTGCTGGCTTCTCCAAGACACGGATGACGAAGCCTCCACGTTGTGTGTGTGGCACCTGTGGGTATGCTGCGATTAATCTGCGCTTTGGGGCAGGGGAGGTCACTGCCGGGCTGCCAAGGGCTGCGTGTATCACGGCAGTGTGACAGCGCCCACAGGCCGGAGAGCGGGTTCCTGCAGGATGAGGCGGTGTCAGCCGCCCGGTGTCCCAGTGCGGTGTTCTCTGCTATCCCGTGCTCGATGGCAAGGACTTGGCACACAAACCCGGTGCGTTCCCACTGCGCGGCCCACTCGGGCACTTTGTTTGCCCTTCGGTCATTTTTGTTTTGTTTACTTCAGTGCCGGGGTCGGCCGGGCCTCACACCTGCTGCGTGTGCACATGTGTGTGTGCGCGTACACACGTGTCTTCCTCAGTCGTGGTCTCTGAGGAGGGGGCTGGAGCTGGGAGGAGGCCGCCGTCCCCAGGCCTCCCTCTGGGCAGGCGTGAGGCTCCTCCTGGGCCCGGTCAGCCCACTTGTGCAGCGCGGTTGAAGCAAAGCGTCTCGCACCGGAAGTGGCTGTGCCTGGGTCTCGAAGCCAGTGCCCTGGACACCCCGCATTGTTGGCGAGCTCCCCACCTTGTCCTGGGGTGTCACCGTGCCTTCTCCGTGTCAGGTTTGTGTGCGTGCTCACGCAGCATCAGGGCCCGGCCCTGGGCTCTGATCCCTGCGTGGACCACCTGGCGCCTTCGTCCTGGCCGTCCCCACACTCCTGCTGGCCTCTGGGGTGTCCTCGCATGCTTGGTGATGCACAGCTCCACTCGCTGGGTCTCCCCTCCATCCATGCATCTGAAGTGTTTCTTCCGAGCTCCACGGTGAGCCTGGTCTGGAGAGGTTTCCGGAGAGGTTTGTGTTTCCCTTTGGGCTCGGGCGGCAAATGGGAGCAGAGCCCGCAGCCCGGGGCCTCAGTGACGCCGCCGTGCGTAGAGCAGCTCCCGTCCTCTTCCTCGTCCTCACACACCTGGGCCGTGGAGATTGCTGTGCTGCCCACGAGGTGGAGCCCACACGGACGTGCCATTTGATTGAGGTTTCGTGGAGAGTCCTGTGTTGAGTGAATATTGTCAGGGTCCTGGCGTCCTCATGCTCTCTCCCAGATGTGTGGCACTCGAGTGGCACCAGGCTGTGCCGCTTCCCGATGAGTGACGTTGGGATTGAGGTCTGGATTTAAAACACCTTCTGTTCCTGCGCACGCGTGGACGGGAAATCAGAGTGGGTAGGACACGCGTTGGCACAGTCTGTCCCTGAGTGCCCTCCAGGCCGGGGGATGCGGGGACAGCATGGACACAGGCTTTGGCGTGGCCTGGGGTCCTCTGTGGAACAGCGGTGGGTACACGGCACTGGAAATCACTTTCCGAGGCTTCGGGACGTTGCCTGCAGGGTAAGGCGCAGACAGGGAACCTGGTGCTCTGCGGAGCCTGCGGCTCTGGGGTCCGCAGTGCTGGGGTTGTGGCGGGGTGTGGGCTTGCCCTCCTTTCCCGTCTCGGGAGGGCGTGGCCCTGCCATGCCTGCTGCCCTGTCCCTGCCCGTCTGTCCCCTGCTTGGACCTGGCTGTGTGTGACACCCATCTCTCCACCAGCTTCCCGGCCCTGGGTGCCAACTGCACAGCCCTGGCTCTCCTGCCAGGTGACAGGAACCCGGCCCCTGTGGCAGGCGCAAGCTTCCCGTTTCCTCCAGACAGTTGGGGTCACTGTGTCACAGTGTGGAGAGGACCCAGGCCATGCAGCCTGAGGACTGGAGGGGCAGTCGTGTGTCCAGGAGGAGGCCGCAGCTGAGCGCAGTGACAGCTGCGTGCACCTAGAAACACTCACTGGAAAACCATGACGTGGTGCAGAAATTTGTGGGGAAGCTCCCTGTGATTTCAGAGCTAGACTTCTCTGTTATTTGCAGTCATTTCTGTTTATTGTTTCTCATTTGCCTTTTTGTTTTCTTCTGAGACAGGGTCTCACTGTGCAGTTCGCGCTGGCCTTGAACTAACTAAGCGTCCCAGGCTGGCCTCGAGCTCCTGATCCTCCTGCCTCAGCCTCCTGAGTGCGGGCTTACAGATGTGAGCCACTACGCCCAGCTTTCGTTTGTCTTCTACACAGAATTACGTTCATGTCACTCCAATAATTTGTAATTTTTCAGTTACAATAACAAGCATTTCTTAGTATTGTTTTTATTTTTGTTACTGTGATGCTTTCCTGTGCGCTGGGCAAGGGCTCCACCCCAGCCACACCCCGACCCTACAATCAGGGTCTCTGCAGGCTCCAGAGTGGAGCCCATTCAGCAGGGCCCAGGGCCCTGCTCCCCCAGCATCCCTCCTGGCCCTGGACTGGGGCTGGGCAGGCGCAGAGCTGGGGGTGTACAGGGGGTCGGTCGTGGTCGGTCTGGCATCTGGAACTGGCTGAGGGACACTGCCTGCTTTTCTGTCTTCCGCCCGGCTCTGAGTCACTTCCCCTGGTCCAGGAGGTTTTCCTGTCCTTCCCCTTCGGCCTGCTGTTGTGTCGCCCGGGACCTGCGGGAGCAGGGCAGGCCCAGGGGCCTCCGTGGATACTCGGGCATTGAGCTTTTGTTGCTCCAGGAGGGAAGAGTTGTGGACCAAACGAGCCACCGGGCACGGTTTTAAACGGCACGGTTTTAAAAGCACCCTGCTGGGAAAACAGAAAAGCTGTTTATTTGCTGACAGTTGGACAGACGAGGTTGTTAAGAGTTTTCTGGTGCAGTAGAGAAGCAGAAGGAAAGAGAAAGTGAGGTGGCCTTTATTGAGGACACGGAGAGGAGCCCGTAACCTGGGGGTTTGGCTTCTCCTCCTGCCAGACCCAGGGGGCAGAGGGTTACCTGACCTCTGATCGGAAGTGGCCCGTGGGGCGGGCATTGATGGCATGCGAGGAACTGATTGGAATTCTCTTCCAGTGCAAATGGGAAAGGAAGTTGCAGTTAGGGCTGAGGGGGAGAAAGGAGGAAGTGGCCATGGGGTAAGCGTCCCCCCTGTGGCCTTCCGCCACGTTAGACCACGCCATGGTGTGCAGTAATCTGCACAGGGCAAGGACCTTGCAGTCCTGCCTCTGGTATGTTAGGAAAGGGTCAAATCCCCCTGACTCCGTCCAGCAGGACGGGGGCTGTGTGGGGTCTACGAGGGTTGACGGGACGAGGCTTGATGCCCACGGAGGAGCCGGTGCCAGGTGTTCCAGCCAGGACAAGGAGTTTTTTGTCGGTGAGTGCTTACATCCTGGATTGGAGAAATAAAAGACAGGGTGCCATGGGACTTAGGCCACCATCGTGATTAAAGGACCAGGAGAGGTAGAAGGCAAGGTGCCTTCTCCGAATGTGTCCATCCATCGGGGCCCTGGTGAGGAAGAATCTGGAAAACGAGCGTGGGCTTGGGAGGGCTGGGTTACGGAGGCCAGTGACCCCGGGCTGAAGGACAGGAGGAGGAGTGCAGTGGGCCTGTCCCTGGTCTGGGGGGCTGAGCTGGAGAGAACGGGACGCACGAGAAACTCAAGGCCTGGCGGATGAATGGTGTTTGGGGAGTCACCCGGGAAGGGAGGGAGGGCTGTGGCTGTGGCTGTGGCTGTGAGTGAGGGGCGCCCAGCCCCGGGGGGCTCCTGTTTAACTAAGCAGCTGAGGGCGGAGAGACCAGGGTGCTGTCAGGGAGAGGAGCTGGCGAGCGCTCTTGGTGTGCCCTGGGAGT